CTCTCAATCCTGTTTGTACTGTCAGAAGCATCTGAAGAGTTTATTTTTAACAAATACAACACCTGGGTCCCACCCCACACCTGAGGAGATGATAGGGGCCAATATCAAAACTCAAAAGAGAAGAAAATAATTGCTAAATGGGTACAGTGAGAGGAAAACTTCACAGCGAAAGGTTCAAGTTCTTTGCAATAATCAGTGAAGGAAACCAGAAAGTGTTATCCCAAAATGCATCATCTTTGACATAGAAATTTTGAGCTGAAGGGAATTCAGCAGTAGCAAACCCAGAAAAAGCTCCCCCTTTACTGCCTAAAGGCAGGATACAAATTCTCTTTTTATTCAACAACACTTAGCCAAGAGATGGCACCAGAGAAATCTGCAAAGCAAACATTACTCCATTAGTTTCCTTACAGATACATCCACCCAGTCTGCCACCTTGGAAGTCTAAAATTGCTTTATCCTGTCATTTCTCCAAAACGTATTGTTCTTTGTTGAAGATACTATGTAAGCCAGAATTCTAAACCACCACTTTGAGTTACTCTTCATTTTAGGTTTCTCCTATGTTCTGTGCACTGCATATGTTAATAACTGATTTTCTCATTAATCTTTTTGCTCGAGTCCCAACCGAAAACTTAAGATGAGCAAAGGTGAAGTTTTACCTCCCCTAAAGTAGTATAAAAGGGGGCTCATGAAAGCTTAAGAGGAAAAGGTTTGGAATCACTGCCACCAGGGATGTAAAAGGATGTCAAGGGATGAAAAAATGAAGTTTTTTAACCAAGGAGCTCAAAGAGCCCACCTGGAGTCAGAGAGCAAGACTTTGTAACTGAACCAGACAACCTCATTCAACAGCCCAGAAGGAAGAGTAGGGGAAAGGTACTGATGAGTTTCCTAAGGGCAGGAAACTAACAAAGCAGCTACTGGAGGAAGAGCTGATGGCTTAAATCAACAAATCTATTATCTCACGGTTATAGAAAGCTGGAAGTCTGAAATCAAGGTGTCGGCAGGGCCATGCTCCTTTGGAAGCTTCTAGGGAAGGATTCTTCCTTGCCTTTTCCAGGTTCTAGCAGCTCCAGGTTTATGATGGCATAACTCCAATCTCTCCCACAGCCATCTTCCCTGTGTCTTCACATGGCTTTTCCGTGTGTGTGTGTGTGTGTGTGTGTACAAATTTCCCTCTAATTATAAGGACACCAGTCATCTTGGATTAGGGCCCACCCTAATGACCCCATCGTAATTTCCAAATAAGGTCATATTCACACACAAGACTTCAACACATCTTTTTTGGAAGGCACAGTTCAACTCATAACAGTTATGTTAGAGAGTTAAGGAGAAGTCAGCAGAAATCACTGAATGTGGGGGTTGCTCAGGCTGAACAGGATGACAAGCCAGGATGGGCAAGGACAGAGGCAAGGGGAGAACAGCTAGGGAGGGCGCTGAAAGTCTGTAAGGCTTGTTAAATCACTGCCAGAGTCTATGAAGTCTGGGAGGATATTAAATGTTAGTAGTGCTGAGATTATCTGCAACTTTACATTTCCTTTATGCTTTTTGTATGTTCCAAGTTTTCTACACTAAGTACACAATTTTTATAATCAGAGATCAATCATTATTTAAAGAGAACTATGCAGTCATTGTCACATCCTTTGAGTGTGTAGTCAGAAAAAGGGCAAAGGGAGGAAAACACACAGGGTAAAAATATGTAACAAAATTAAAACCTGAAACAAAGATGACACTGACCCACAGTCAGCAATACAAACAAATGTAGGGTAGAGAAGAGTGCAGGCTTTCATCTTGGACAGATCTGGATTTAATCCCAACACTTGCATATGCCAGCTCTAACGGCTTATTTTCTTGTTTAGAAAAAGAGGATTGCATTTCCATCTCAGCTGTCTAGAACATTATGTGAAGGGGCTGGCATGATATAAATACTTACCAAGTGTTTCCCAGTATTTTCAATATGGCATTAATAACCCTGTATATACAATATATGAATTTCACAAATGGCTAGCATTTCGAACACCTGAGGGCAGAGACATGGGTGGCTGAAGAGAGTACAGCCAAGGGAAGGGAAGATTTCCTCAATGTTCTGATCCAGAAAAGGGAGGGATAACTGCTTACTGGAAAGAAGGGGAATTACACAACTGAATAGAAAGGGAGTCTATAAATCTGTTAAATTTCAAAAAAAGTGAGATAACCCCATATGTGTTGGGATGTCTATAGTATGTGCCTATGGCACCAGTTAGGGACACTTCAGCCTACAAGTGACCAAAAGGTGATAGAAAATGCCTTATACAATAAGGAAACAGTAATCTCACATAACAAGAAACTTGGGATTAGGGAAATTCCAACAGTTTAATGATGCCAACAAAGACTACATTTCCCCTCCCCACCTGCTACTACTGTGCTCGCCTCAGTTTCAATACACTGCTAACGGAAGAGGGGCTGCGTGCCCCCAAACACCTTTTAAAAACTACAAAAACTTTCCCCAGAAGCACCCCGGAAAATGTCTTATTCTGTCTCACTATCTGGAACTACCCCTCCTGAAGCACATGGAGGGCACATACCAAACAGTTCAGTTAGAACCAGAACCAGAAGAGGAGGGGAAGAATGGGATTAGCGGCTTCTGGAAAGGCAGCCAGCACGGTCTACCCTGTGTGTCCATGAGCAGTGTACAAAGCATGAGACTGGAATCTGCATGGACAGCACTGATATACCATCCGATGGGTATGTATCAAGTGGCAGAGGAGGGCCAAGGGATATACAGGGAGTACAGGGAGAGGTGCTTGGGCAGGGGAAGTAGAGCCTCATTTCCCACCAGTCAGTGGGAGGATGACTAAAGATGCTAATGGACTCAACCAAAAAAACGGCCGGAGGCGTGAGACCTTAGGACAAGAGAAAGTGTGGAGGTGCGCTCCATCCACAGCATTGTAGAACGAGAGGTCCCCAGCCCCGTGATCTAGGAAGACTCCCACCCGGTGAAGAGGGGGCTCCTGCTTAGTAGGACTCCAACGGAGCGCCCAGACTCCCCCTTCGGGGGACATTTGCGAATGATCCATAATCCCCATAACGTCCTCCCGACACACCCCCACAGCAATCTCAAGGCTATCTCGGTTCTCAACTTCCCAGTAATGTTTCCCTGAAGTGAAAACATTTTTCCCCAAAACACAGGGTAAGTGCTGAAATCTCTCCACAAAGTGTGTGTTCTTCTGAGGACGCTTCCATCCAGCAAAGTAGCTCCATGCTGTAGAAAATAATGGCCAGGAACCAGCTGATGATGGATTTTTCACATATCTCCCTTCCTGGGAGAAGACCAGTGTGGCATGAGCTGTGTTTTCAGACAGATTTACAGCCACTGCAGAGAAAACAAGAGCTGAGATAAATACCACCAGCAGCCCTCCTCCAGAAATGCCCCTCGGTTCCAGCTTCAGGTCCATCCTCCTCCTCCTAACAAGCACTGTTAGGGTGAGACTCCTCCTGGCCCCTCCACTGATCCTCAGCTGGGCCTACGAGGTGCAGCACGGCCTTTAGCAATGTGGAATCTTCATTTCCCCTCTGCTCTAAAAGACTAAGACCTAGAACATGAGGAGCTCATTATTTCATGGTCCCAAGTCTTCACAGTAAGCAGAAAATTTGAAGTAAAAAAAATTCTGCTGTTGAATGAGGGCCAGACCAAGGCCGCCGACTAGCAGGTGCTCTACACAGGCACACACAGATGTCGCTGTGAATGAGGTTTCTCTTCACTGGCTCGGTGGGTCACCAGCCATCTCCCCAGACCCCCCAAGAGATCATTCAAAACAGAACATACTAGTCTAGGTCCTCTTCCGCCCTCTGGGATTAAGCCCCTGTGCACACACTGACATCTTGTCTTCTCTGTCCTCTACCTCCACCTAAACACTCACACTTGAAACCATGAGCTCGTGTCTCTTCTTTCCCTCTGACCCTCAATGGCTAATCAGTCACCAAATCCTATTGGTTCTACCTCCCAAATGTCACTCGGGTTCGTTTCCTCCTCTCCGTCCCCACTGCCCCTATCTTTACTCAGACCTTCTCACTTCACCTGTGTCTGTACCTTCCTTCCTGCCTCCAAATTCTTCCCTCTCCCAGACTTTCCATGCCTCTCTAGTTTGTTTTTTTCAATCAGGAATTGATGTTAGGTTTTGATAAATAATTTTTCTGCATCTACTGATTTTGCTTTTTTTGCATTTTCCTTTTTTTGAGTTTGCTACTAAAATTTTGGTGAATTCCACTCATTTTTCAAATGTTAAACCAACCCTGCTTTTCTGGGATAAATCCCATTTGGTTGTGATATATTCTGCTTTCTTTTTTTTTTTTTGGTATCATTAATATACAGTCACATGAGCAACATTGTGGTTACAAGATTCCCCCCATTATCAAGTCCCCACCACACACCCCATTACAGTCACTGTCCATCAGCGTAATAAGATGCTACTGAGTCACTACTTGCCTTCTGTGTGCTATACTGCCTTCCCCGTGACCCCCACTACATCATGTGTGCTACTCATAATGCCCCTTATTCCCCTTCTTTCTCCCTTCCCACCCACCCTCGCCAGTCCATTTCCCTTTGGTAACTGTTAGTCCATTCTTGGTTTCTGTGAGTCTGCTACTGTTTTGTTCCTTCACTTTTTGCTTTGTTCTCATGCTCCACAGTTGAGTGAAATCATTTGGTACTTGTCTTTCTCCACCTGGCTTATTTCACTGAGCATAATACCCTCTAGCCCCATCTATGCTGTAAACGGTAGGATTTGTTTTCTTCTTGTGGCTGATTAATATTTGATTGTGTATATGTACCACATCTTCTTTATCCATTCAACTACTGATGGACACTTAGGTTGCTTCCATTTCTTGGCTATTGTAAATAGTGCTGCAATAAAAATAGGGGTGCATATGTCTTTTTGAAATTCGGCTCCTGCATTCTTAGGGTAAATTCCTAGGAGTGGAATTCCTGGGTCAAGTGGTATTTCTATTTTTAGTTTTTTGAGGATATATTCTGCTTTTAATACATTGTTAGATATCAATTTGCTAAAATTTTCTTTAGAATTCTCCCTTCTGTATTCATGAGGGACATTAATCTATAGTTCTGGTCATGTCTTTGATTTTTGGCAACATGATAATGCAGTCCTCATAGAATGAATAAGCAAATATTCTCTTCAATTTTTTATGATTTTGTGCAGGCTATTTATTTCTTAAATGTTTGGTGAATTCACCAGTGAAGACACTTGGGAAGATTTTTAACACCAATTTCTTTAATAGAAATAAGGTTATTCCAGTTAACTATTTATTCGTGGGTAAGCTTTTATTATTTGTGCCTTTTAAGGACTTGTCCATTCAAATACATTGTCGAATTTATGAGCATAAAGTTGCTTGATATTCCCTTATTATCCTATTAATATCTATGGAATCTGTAGTGAGGTTGCCTCCCATTACTAGTATTAGCAATGTATGTCTTCTCCTTCTCTCTGGTCATTCTGGTTAAAGAAGTAGCAGTAAAATCGATATTCTCAAAGAACCAGCTTTTTGTTTGATTTTTCCATTGTTTTTCTGTATTGCAATGATTTCTGCCCTGATTTTTATTATTTCCATTCTTCTGTTTACTCTTGCCTTTATTTTTTCTTCCTTTTTCTAGTGACTTAAGGTGGAAACTAAGGTCACTGATTTGAGAACTTTTTCCTTTTCTAATATAGGTGGTTGGTGCTACAAATTTCCCCTGAAGTAATCCTTTGCTGCATCCCACAAATTCTGATATATTAATTTCCTTTTCACTCAGTTCAAAGTGCTTTCTATTTCCCTTTTGATTTCTCCATTAATTCACGGGTTACTGAAAAGTGTTTTAGTTCCTAATACTTGTGGATATTCCAATGATATTTTTGTTACTTATTTCTAACTTAAATGCATTATGGTCAGAGAAAATACTTTCATAATTTGAATCCTTTTGAATTTACTGAAATTTGTTTTATAGCCTATCTTCATCTATACAGGAAAATGTTCCATGCACACTTAAAAAAGGATGCATATTCTGCTTTGGTTATTCTATAAACACCAGTGGGGTCAAGTTGGTTACTAGCATTACTCAAGTCTTCTATATCTTCCTGACTTTCTGCCTACTTGTTCTAAAAATTATTGAAAAATAGGTACTGAAAACTTCCAGCTATAATTGTGGATTTGTCTATTTCTCCTTGTAGCTCAATTAGTTTTCCCTTAGTATATTTAAAGCTCTATTATTAGATGTGTAAATGTTTAGAACTCTTATGTCCTCCTGATAAACAGACCCCTTTGTCATTAGGAAATGACCTTGTTTATCTCTGGTAATATTCTTTGTTCTTAAATCTACTTTGATGTTAATATAGTCACTCCAGATTTCTTTTGACTGGTTGTATGGTGTATTTTTTTCTGTTGTTTCACTTTTAACATATATGGCTCTACATTTAATGTTTCTTACAGCATGTAGTTGGGACTTCCTTTTTTATCCAACTAATCTCTGCCTTTTGATTAGTATACTCAGACCATTTACAGTAATACAAAATTTATTATTATGATTAGGTTTGTGTCTGTCATCTTGCTCTTTGCTTTCTAGTTATCCTATTTGTTCTTTATTCCTCTTTTTCTGTCTTTTTGATGAAGTAAGTGTTTTTTATAATTCTGCTTACCTATTTTGTTGGATTAGCTTTATTTTTTTTTTAGTGGTTGCTGTAGGTTTAGAGTATAGACATTTAACTTATCACAGCCTACCTTCAAGTGCTATTATACTTCACATATTAAAAACTGTGTAATAGTATACTTCCATTTCTCCCCTCCAACATTCACACTACTGTTCTTGTGCATTTTACTTGTAAATATGTTACAAACTCCATGTCATTTTTTTGTCTGTCTGTTTACATAGTTAATTACTGTTATTAGCCAGGGTTCTCCAGAAAATGGAACAGGATGTGTATTACATAGAGAGAGCAAGAGATAATAAGGAATTGGCTCAACACGATTATAGGGACTGGCAAGTCCATATCTGCTGTGTGTGACAGCATGCACAAGATCCAGGAAAAACTGATGTTCCAGTTCAAAGGCCATCAAGTAGGAAGAACCAGAGCTACAGATGAATTCCAAAGGCAGTCTGCTAGAGAATTTCTTCTTGCTTAACAGGAAAAGTCAGCCTTTTTCTATTCAGGCTTTCAACTGATATTAGATGAGTCCCACAAACATTAGGGAGGGCAAACTGCCTTACTGAAGTTTCCCAGTTTAAATGTTAATCTCATACAAAAACATTCTCACACCAACACCCAAAATAATGTTTGATCAAAATACGGACACCTGTGACTCAGTCAAGTTAATACATGAATTAACCATACTATTACCCTTTAATGGTATTTAGATAATGGCAAAAAGTGTATATTTATTTATGTCATTATCATTTCAGGAGATTTTTTATTCCCTTGTGTAGATCCAGACTTACATCTGGTATCATTTTCCTTTTGATTGAAGGACTTTAACATTTCTGGCAGTATTAGTCTGTTGCTGGTAAACTCAATTTCTGGATATCAAATATCATTATTTCACCAGTTTTTTTTATGTATTTTAACTAAAATATTTTTTAAATAGCATATTACATTGGCTTCAATTGTACAACATAGTGATTCAATAGTTACCCACATTAAACCACCACCCTCAACTATCACAGTTGAGTACAGTTACTATCTGTCAACACAGAAAGATGTTACAGAGCCAGTGACTGTATCCTCCATTCTGTACTTCTCTTCTATCCCCATGACCAACTTATATTATGTTTGAGATTTTGTGCCTCTTTATCTCCCTCACTCACCCAATCCACCTACCCCTCACCTTTGTTTTTGAAGAGTATTTTTGCCAGGAATAAAATTCTAGGTTAACACTGTTTTCCTTTTAGGAAAGATTTTGCTCACTTGCATTGTTTTCAATAAAAAATATGATATTGTCTGTATCCTCGTTCCACTGTAAGTAACATGTCCTTTCTCTTGTTGCATTTTTAATTTTCTCTTTATCACTAGTTTTTCATTTTTTTAATTCTCTTTATCACTGGTTTTGGTGCAGTTTTCATATTTCTTGCAATTTGGGACAGTAGAGCCTCTTAGATCTGTATACTTAGTTTTTTATCAAATTTAGAAAATTTTTAGCTATTATTTCTTAAAGTATTTTTTCAATCCATCCCCATCCCACTTTTTCCTGCAGGGACCCAAATTATCGTACATAAGGCTGTATGAAGTTGTCCCACAGATGCTCTTCGTGGTATAAGTTTTTTTCTCTATGTATTTCATTTTGGATGTTTTCCACTACTACATCTTCAAGTTCACCGATCTTTCCTTCTACAATGTCTAATCATCTATTAATCCCAACCAGTGTATTCTTTATCTCAGTCACTATAACTTTCACCTCTAGAAATTTGATCTGGGATTCTTTTCTATGTACCGTGTCTCTATATGCACCTTTACAGAATAGTTTTAATAATTGTATCAATGTCCTTCTATGCTTATTCTAACATCTGGGTCAATCCTGGATCAGTTTCAGTTGATCATTCTCCTCAGTGTGGGTCACATTTTCCTACTTTTTTGCATGTCTGGTAATCTTGGATTGAATGGCAGACACTGTGGTTGTACATTGTTGGGTACTCATTTTTTAAAATTCTTATTAATCTTCTTGAGTTTTGTCCTGAGATGCAGTTACTTGAAAATAATTTGGATCTTGCTTTCATGATTTGTAAGGTGAGTCCAAAGCTGTGCTCACTGTAGGATTAATTATTCCCACTGATGAGGCAAGATCTTCCTGAGTGCTTGACTTTACCCAGTGCCCCATGAACTATGTTTTCTAGTCTGGCTGGTAGGAATAGGCATTGTTCTTAGCCCCGTGTGAGCTCTAAAAACTTTTTCTTATAACATTTCAGAAACTTCCTTCCTCAACTGCAGGTAGCTCTTCACCAGCATGTGCTGATCGGTATTCTGCTGAATACTGAGGGATGCCCTGTGGTGATAAGGGTTCTCTCTCCATATAGCAATTTCCTCTCCAGTACTCTGTCCAGTACTCTGCAAACTCCCTGCTTTGTTCGCCCTGGACCCTCTTCTCAGAAAGTCCACCTAGCTCCATCTCTGTTACCCCTTCTCAGATGGTCTGGACTCAAAGCTGTAGGCTGGGGCAATCACAGGGTTCACCTCATTCATTTCACATTTCTCAGAGATCACTGTCTTTCACTGCCTCATGTCCAGTGTTTTGAAAACCGTTGTTTCATGTACTATGTCTATTTTGTTTTCATTTTTGTTTTTGTAGTTAACATAGTTTCAGTCAGAAGAATAAATCCAGTCCTCATTTCATCATTTTTAGCTGGAAGTGGACATCCGCAATATGGTTCCTAATCAGAGATGTGCACATGTGAATTGCTTGAATAGTTTTTTCCAGTACATACCTTGGTTCTCCCCTGGAGATCCAGTAAGTTTATCTTCAGTCTTTCATCATTCATCTTCCCAACCTTAGCTCCTGCTTTCCCTCACAATGCACCTTATGTAGTCAGAGCAGATACCCTCCTTTCCATTTTGTCCATACCTTAGCTCCTGCTGCCTCTGCTCAGAGGAGTATACCCCCATCTTCTACTTGGCAAACTCTTACACTTTCCTCAAATTCCAGAACTGACCCCTCTGCTGTGAAAACCTTCCATTTTACCTCCAGCAGAACTCCTCCTCTGTATTTCTATAGTATTTTATCCATACCACTTGATAAATACTGGATCCCACTATATTACAATAATTATTGTATATATGTCTCTCTCTCAATTTTGCTTATGCATTCTTAGAGCTTTTTCTTTTTGTATCACTAATAGCTTATAACACATAGTGTTAATAAATGTTTCCTGGATGAAGCATATATCCACTTACTCCTAAGTTACTACCTTTTTCCTGACCCTCCTGTTGGCTGCATGCTCTTTTTCCTCTTTCCTCCCCAGACTTCTCTGTTTATTCTCTGATTTGAAAGATTTCTAAGGAGCTCCAACTCCTAGAAATTCTGCTCACCTTGGAATCGCTTCAGCATTTCCTTCATCACTGGAATCTGGCACACAGTCTTCACCTTTAGAACTTCAAGGGAATAGTTCACATCCTCGTTCTCACTCCTAAGGAAAGTACAGAAAGCTGCTCTCCTTAGGAGAAAACTAGGGCAGCCAAGACTCCCAACTCCCACCTGAAGGGTCTAAGCCCAGAGCTCAGATCACTTCTCTCCCATTCATCCTTACAAAAGTGAACAGAAGAATTCCACCTCCATGGACCCCTTTAGGGTGTGCCCAGATTGCTCTATGGAGCCTAGGACTTGTTTCCTGTCTGCCCACCCTGTACCTTTATCAGTCCACTCAGGTCCCCATAAGAATTCAGGAGCTCATACCTGATCAACACATCTTTTGGATTCTGTGAAGAGAAGAAAGAAAGAAGTTATGTACCTTCCTCTTAAGATCTGATGCTCAACTTTGTGAGCAGGTAATTTTCTGTCAGTTGCTTTTGTTACTGTCCATGATCTCATGCTGCCAATGCCATCGACTGATGCAACGCAGTCCTTTTCTCCATGGGACACCCCCTGCACTATTTGACAACCTCTTCCTTGAAATCCTATTCTTTCTCTTTTGGCACTCTGACATTAACTTTCTCTGGGCTTTCTGCCTACTTCTCCATCACTTCACTTTCAAGCACAGACAATAACAAATGTTGGTGAGGATATGATAGGAAGATAAAATGGTTCAGCCACTTTGGAAGACAGTTTGGCAGTTTCTTTAAAACTTAAATGTAAATATACTATACAGCCCAGCAATTCTGCTCCTATTATCTACTGCAGAGAAATGAAAACATGTCCACACAAAGAATGGCAGGCAAATGTGCACAGCAACTTTATTCTTAAAGCCAAAAAATGGAAACCTAGCAATTGGTGAACAGATAAACAAAATGAGGTATATACTCTACAACAGAATACTATCTGGGAATAGGAAACAAGAATGCAAATGCAATACTAATACCAAGAATGGGCCTCACAGGCATACTAAAAGAAAGAATCCAGACATAAAGGACACATATTGTATGGTTCTGTTTATAGGCTATATCTAGAAAAGGGAACTCTACAGTCAGAAAGTAGGCTGTCTGGAGCTGGGGGGTAGGAACAGAGATTAACTGTAAACCAGCACAAAGGGATCTCACTGGGGTGACAGAAATGTCCTAAAACTGGACTGTGGTAAGGAATGAATGACTTGATAAAATTATAAAAATCACTCAACTGTACATTTAAAATGGGTGAATTACATATATATATTATACCTCGAGAAAGCTGGGTGTTTTTTTTTAATTGTATAGCAAAATGGTGAATTACCATATGAAGAAGCACCCAACCTCACTGGTCATCAATGGAATGCCATCTGCCTTACAGGAGGGAGAGGTGCTGACTGAAGGCTTGAGATAACATTATACAGCATTCAGGATGGCTAAAATCACAGACATTCAAGTACAGACAAGCATAGAGAGCAACTGGATCTCTCACACACTGCCAGTATGCTGCTCTCCTTAGGAGAAAACTAGGGCAGCCAAGACTCCCAACTCCCACCTGAAGGGTCTAAGCCCAGAGCTCAGATCACTTCTCTCCCATTCATCCTTACAAAAGTGAACAGAAGAATTCCACCTCCATGGACCCCTTTAGGGTGTGCCCAGATTGCTCTATGGAGCCTAGGACTTGTTTCCTGTCTGCCCACCCTGTACCTTTATCAGTCCACTCAGGTCCCCATAAGAATTCAGGAGCTCATACCTGATCAACACATCTTTTGGATTCTGTGAAGAGAAGAAAGAAAGAAGTTATGTACCTTCCTCTTAAGATCTGATGCTCAACTTTGTGAGCAGGTAATTTTCTGTCAGTTGCTTTTGTTACTGTCCATGATCTCATGCTGCCAATGCCATCGACTGATGCAACGCAGTCCTTTTCTCCATGGGACACCCCCTGCACTATTTGACAACCTCTTCCTTGAAATCCTATTCTTTCTCTTTTGGCACTCTGACATTAACTTTCTCTGGGCTTTCTGCCTACTTCTCCATCACTTCACTTTCAAGCACAGACAATAACAAATGTTGGTGAGGATATGATAGGAAGATAAAATGGTTCAGCCACTTTGGAAGACAGTTTGGCAGTTTCTTTAAAACTTAAATGTAAATATACTATACAGCCCAGCAATTCTGCTCCTATTATCTACTGCAGAGAAATGAAAACATGTCCACACAAAGAATGGCAGGCAAATGTGCACAGCAACTTTATTCTTAAAGCCAAAAAATGGAAACCTAGCAATTGGTGAACAGATAAACAAAATGAGGTATATACTCTACAACAGAATACTATCTGGGAATAGGAAACAAGAATGCAAATGCAATACTAATACCAAGAATGGGCCTCACAGGCATACTAAAAGAAAGAATCCAGACATAAAGGACACATATTGTATGGTTCTGTTTATAGGCTATATCTAGAAAAGGGAACTCTACAGTCAGAAAGTAGGCTGTCTGGAGCTGGGGGGTAGGAACAGAGATTAACTGTAAACCAGCACAAAGGGATCTCACTGGGGTGACAGAAATGTCCTAAAACTGGACTGTGGTAAGGAATGAATGACTTGATAAAATTATAAAAATCACTCAACTGTACATTTAAAATGGGTGAATTACATATATATATTATACCTCGAGAAAGCTGGGTGTTTTTTTTTAATTGTATAGCAAAATGGTGAATTACCATATGAAGAAGCACCCAACCTCACTGGTCATCAATGGAATGCCATCTGCCTTACAGGAGGGAGAGGTGCTGACTGAAGGCTTGAGATAACATTATACAGCATTCAGGATGGCTAAAATCACAGACATTCAAGTACAGACAAGCATAGAGAGCAACTGGATCTCTCACACACTGCCAGTAGCAGTGTAAACCAATACAAGCACTTTGGGAATCGGTTTGGAATCATCTACTAAAGCTAACCACATGGATGTCCTGTGACCAGGTGCATAACCAAAAGAGATGTGTACATATGTGCAACAAAAGACATGTTCGTCACTACTTTTTGTAACAGTAAAAACTAGAAAAAAACCAAATTTTGCTAATAGTAAAGTGAGCAATATGTTCTGGTATACCAATACACTGGAATACTATACAGCAGCATTTTTCAGCTGCAGCACTGTGAAAATTTGGGCTGGAAAAGTCAGGGCTGGGAGGAATGTTCTGCACATTACAGAATGTTTAGCAGCACCCGTGGCCTCTACATGAGATGCTAGTAGTAACCATCCCCAAGCTGCGACAATGGAAAATGTCTCCCAATACTGCCCCTGGTTGAGAACTGCTGTGAGAACTGATGCACCTGCACCAGCATGGCCTGACCTCACAAACGATGCTGAGCAAAAAGAGCCAGGTACAAAGGACTGCATCCTGATAGCTTCTTACTCAAAAACAGGCAAAACAAAACAGTGTAAATAGTCTGGAGAGAGACTACATTTGAAAGAAGGCAAGGGGCATTGGCTGGGGGCATGAGGAGGGCTTTTGGTATGTTACTCATGTTCTGTTTCTTGACTTGGGTGGTGGTTCTGTGGGTGGGTCACTTGGTAATAATACGTTAAGCTTATGATTTATGCATTTTTCTCTACAGATGTTAAACTTTAAATATTTTTAAACATGTTTATTTTACTATGACAATAAAGTCAGAATCTGTGGACAGAGTTGAAGCAATACTTTGAGATGAAAGTATAGCTTCAGTGTATTTCCCAGCAAACTAAAGGGTAAACAGAAATAAGTTAAGCATGCCAACTCAAAAAGCTGAGGAAAGAGCTACAGAGCACACCAAGAACCAATAAGAAAAAAACAATAATAGTAAGAGCAGATATTATTTCACTGCAAGCAGTATTTGTGATGGTAACAGTGCCGGGGGCAACCTAGGTGGGTAACAGAGGAAACAGGCAAAATGTGGTGGATGGACACATGAATTAAATGTCTATAAAGCAAAAAAGAATGGATCTTAGAAACACAGTTCCTAAGGAAAAAAGAAACAGAATGCAACAGGAATCTAAATCATCGCATAAATCAAAGTACATAAACCCAAGCAACACTATGCATTTTGCAAGAACACATTTAAATGAAAAGATAAAACTTAAGCATGAGAGAATGTTTTTGTTTTTTGTTTCTATGTTTGTAAGGACAATGCAAGTGAGCTATAAGCTAAAAGTGAACAAACAAAACAATGGAGGGATGAATAGATGGATCAGCAAAGTTCTCTTAGGCTCTGAGATTCTATGACCCAGTTCCATCTTCTTTATAATCATTTCTCTAGACCTGCACTTACACTGGAAGAATATCAAGTTATATCAATCTGATTGTAATGATTAAAAATTAGTAAAAAAGACATTATTTCCCTTAAAAACTGTTGATAAATTATCTATTTGTGATTTTACGTTTGCGTTCTTTTACTGTTTTACAAAGTATACAAACATATTAAAACATGGATGGAGAAGTCTTAGATGTACTTCAGATCCCTCATAAACTATAGACTATATGATTCTAAGTATCACATATTACCTGAGCTCAGCATACCTAAATTTCACATTAATTTCTTTTGAATGGTGAATCTTTTAACTCTTTAATTGTACAATGACAATTAAACTATCACAACTATCAACAGAGAGAAAACATTTCTTCTATTAAACTCACTCACCAGGAAAGACATTCAGCTCTAACGAAAAGAGGGGGTTCCATTAGTGATGTCAACTAAACCCTGCCAGCCTGTCTCACCTGCAGCAACATCAGGGTGGAACTCTGGCTCTTCTCCCCAACCTCTAAGATGAGCTTCTTCAACGACGTGATTATCTGATGGAGCCTTAGTTTGTTCTCATTGCGTTTCTTCTTTGTCTCTTCTTCTTCTTCGCTCAGTCTCTGAAGAAACAGTTGCTCTTCTTCAGCAAGGAAGTTGTGCAGCTTTGCAAACTCTGCGCTCAGTCTCATTCGCTGATTCTTCATCTTCTCCTACAGCCACATGAGATTTGCTCAGGCCTTGTTTTGCCTGGCCCTCGCCCTTAAGTGCCTTACATGTGACTCCCCGACAATCCATGGCCCTTCCATCCTAACCACCTCCTCCAGAAAAGCTCCTGCCCACACCCCATAAATTTCTACTACTCTTCTATTTTCACTTACTTGATAACTTTGTACTAATCTTTATAATATTAATTCATTTGTTCTAACATGAGTCTCTACTACTGACAGCAATGCCTTGTTTGTATATTTTTAAACTCAAATGCACCTTCACATCTATTTCTTCCCTCAGAATACCTACTGTTTAGTTTTGTTAAATCTTCAGACATGAGTGTGTGTGTGTGCATTGTGCCTCCCAACTGGACCAGCATCTCTGAAAGCAAAGTCCATTTACTTTTCACAAGGCCACAGACCCCCGGACTACAAACTAGGGATTGTAATATTTAGGAAAATGTGGGAAGGAGAGAGGCACTATCTTAGAGATATGGGGATGAAGTGAGTGGAACTCACATCATCCAACATCACAGGTCAGTAGGGAAAGACACTTCCTGCTCTATCACCTAATCTGGCAAAGGGCCTGACAACTGATGACATCCTGCAAGGTCTTCCCAGCAAAACCACAAAACCAAAGGGCCTCAGGGACAAGAAATGCCCAGCCACTGCTCTCTTACCTTCCACTCTGCAGCATTCTTCACTTCCATGTCCTGTAAACGCAAGGCTTGCTTCATCTTGGCCGTCAGACTGCACTGAGTCTTAAGAAGTTTTTCCTGCCAGCAGAAACATGTATCAGAGAAAAATCATCTCTCCAAGCATCTTCCTTGTTCAGGAGCTAAAAAGTCACCTAATCCAAACAGGGAATGAGATTGAGAAAATGCTGAAGATAATCACAGGCCTATATACAAGAAATATTCCGGTCTGAAATCATCATGATACTATGCAGAATTGGCCTATTAAGCTGAAAACAAAAACTGTTGGAGGATTAATAAATACCTAGTATTGACAAAGGAGAAGGCCTTTGGTACCACGATAGGTGAGTAAAAAAGTGCCATCTTTTTTAAGGCTACCTGGCAAGAGTTAGCAAACTTTAAAATGTGCGCAATCCTACTTCCAACAATCTATGCAACAAGACACTAGCAAAAACAATAAATATGCATAGGAATGTTCACTGCAACATTCATTATCCATAAATGGGGAATTACTAAATACGTATATTGGTACTTGGTATCACTTTCAGGTAGTTCTCTATATATTGATATATTAAGTTAAAGCTATAAAACAATAGTATTTTATAATTCTGCTTGGAAAAGAATACACTTGAATCTGTACATGTGTGTGTTTGAATAGAAGGAAAATCTGGAAAGATATATTCCTAAGTATTACTAACACCAACTTGGAAGTTGGTGGGGATGGGGGAGAGCACCCTGAATTTCTACAAGAGGCATTATACCATTTTTGTAATTTAAAAACCCAAATAAGCTATTAAAAAACAAACTGAACCAATCAGCCTTGGCATAGTGGGCTGCAGCAGGACAGCACCTGATAGCAGAAGAGCAGACATGAGCTTAGAGACAGAAGTAGGTAAGTCGGCGACACACACAAGAAAACCCGTGGGAAAGGATGACCAAATGGCTGCAGGAGGAAGGGGTCCAGATTCAGTCCCTGGGTTCTGGCTTCAGTAACTGCATGGGTTGTAGGTTATTTGCCAAATTAGGAAATATAGGAGAATGGGCATGTGTAAATGGTAGGAAAGAAAATTAATCCAACTTGAATAAAGTGAGTTTGAGATGCCTGCGGGATATCCAAATGGATATAGTTAGTTAAGAGTCAAGAAAGATCTGAGCTAGAGAAGCAGACTTCAGAGGTTAAAGCAGGTAGGTGAGACCATGGGTGTCAGTAAAGTCATCCAGTAAGATTCTACAGAGTAAGAAGAGAATCAAGGCTGGAACTGGGAACAGCTACATTTAAGGGGTATGCAGAGGACAACAATGCTGCAAAGAGGTTAAGATGAGTGCTTGGTGAAAAAATGAGAGAATGGTTTCCTATATACTAAAGGAAGAGAAAATTTAAATTAAAAACTTAAATGATGGACAGTGGCCTAGGGCAACTTTCTATGTCTGAATGTATGTCAAAATAAAAAGCTAAAAGAAAAAAATGAATAGAACTAAGAAATAATAGGAAAAAAATGAATAGGACTAAGAAATAAGAAATTTTAATTGTTTCCTCAGAAAGTAATAAAAATAGCTAACACTCTTCTTCCAGTCATTTACAAATGACAATGGCTAAAATAAAGTTAGATAATTTAAAAGCCAAACTGGCTGGTGAGGATGTGGAGCAACCAGAACTCTTGTAAAGTGTTGATGGCTGTGTGAAATAGTACAACCTCTTTGGAAAAAAAGTCTGGCTAAACACACATTAATCCTAGGGCCCAGCAATTCTACCCCTAGGCCCAGGAAAAATGAAAACATGTCTACAAAAAGACCTCTATAATACTTATGGAAGCTTTATTTCTAAGAGCCCAAAGCAGTGAACAGCCAAGGAAGATAGGCAAAGAGTGGTGTGTCCACATAACGGAATACTACTCAACAGCAAAACCTGCACAGTAAAAGAAAAAAGTGTGCCAATGCACACAAAAACAATGAGTCTCAAAATCAATATGATGACCAAAAGGCATCTATTTAAAAGAACACAAACTACATGATTCCATGTATAAGACACTGCAGAACAGGCAAACAAATAAGTGGTGGAATAAATCAGAACAGTGGTTGCACTTGGTGGGGTAAGGAGAGAGAATAACTGGGAAAGGGTATGGAAGCTTCCTGGGGTGATGGAAATGTTCTTTATCTTGAGAAGGGCTTGGGGTGCCCAAGTGTATTTGTTTGTCAGCGTTCAGCAAATGTACATTAAAGATGTGCATATTTACCATAAACAAATGTTAAATCTGGTTAATGATATGCATGCTAACGTATAGGAGAAAATGCACTGTCTGCAATTAACTTTAAAATGCTTCAAAGAGAAATAAGAATTGATGGATGGAAAGAAGATACAGATGGATAGATAGGTGATAAACAGTAAAATGTTAACAGCAGAATCTAGATATGGGTATGCCAGTCTTTTAAAATTCTTCCAACTTTGATATATGCTTGAAAATTGCAAAGTAAGATATTGGGGGAAAATAAAATCAGGGTATAAAGGGATTTACATGGTTCTGTTATATATGACAAAATCACTTGTGCTGTTTTCTTTCTAACACAATGTTTTCTAACATTATATGATCTATTTATTACCCCTAGCTGTTAAGCAGGTATATAATCCTGCTCTCAGTAAACTCTCTCAAGTAATTTTAATCCTTGATTCAATTATGTAACTGCCACTTTGTGATCACTCTCAAATTGGATGCACTTATGAGGCTTGTATTGAGATGAGTAAGTCCTTTAAATAAGACCAAGATTTTGTTAAAGTTTTCACTTTTACTTGATAATGAAAACAAATTAAGTAATATTTTAAACAGAATTTTTCAATTGTTTTAAAGCTTTTAAAAATTCTGCTATACATGAATTAATCCTGTAGGGCTGGTTCTACTTAAGTCTTTGAATACTGCCGCAGTTGGGATCTAAGGAGGGGCTCTGACTAAACTTTGGGAACCCATTAGAAATCTCCTTGCAATAACAGATACTGCCACGAGGTGGCAGGAGGACACCACCAAACATTTCAAAACGTGCAAGAAATTTTTAAAAATCACTCTCTTAATTTAACATCAGAAAACTGTTAAGTATATATACCCATAAGTATAACAAAAGTGCATGCTCTTATAGAACTAAGATTACTTGTGATCATATAGTTCAAACAACATTAAACTTCAAATCAGGAGATCTGAGTGGCAGCCTAGACCTTCACACACTGTGAGCAAGTCAACCCCACCCATTTTCTGAGCTGCAGCTTCTTCACCTGTAAGATGAAGCAACGAGGCTTGATGTCGCTTAAATACCGTCCCCAATCTTAGGTTCTATGACTTTCAGTCATTGTAACCTCTGCATTCAATCCAAGCGGCAGGTCTACCTCCGAAAACAGTTATCAAATCAGCATACTCGCTGTCTCCACTGCCCCTCTAAGTTCAAGCCACCCATCATGTCCCCTGGACAACTACAATAACCTCCTGACTGGTCTTCCTACTTCCAATCTTGTCCTTCTCTCATCCAACATCTCTAAAATCCGGTGATACTATATCACTCCTCTTCATCGGCTCTCATCACCAGGAAAATTCAACACCTTGTAATGGCCCAATGTAACCCCGCCCTTGCCTACATCTCCCAACTCATTTCCAGCTACTTTCCCCTTGCTCATGATACTCCAGGCACATAGACCTCTTTTAGTTTCATAAATACGTCCAGTACTTCCCAGCCTCGGGGGTCTTTGCACTTGTGCACTGCCTGGAATGTTCTTCCCAGTTTCCGAGATGGCTCACTCCTCATCCATCAAGTCCCAATGCAGGTATCACCTCCTCAGAAAAGGCTATCCTGTTCATCTTTATTAAAGCCCATTACTTCTCTGGCATAGCACATTATTTCTTTCACAGTACATATTACAATCTGTGTTTATTTATTTGTCTATTATCTACCTCCTACCCCAGCCCAACTAGACTGCGAGTGCTATGGAAACAATCTTCACCTGTCGCGTTCACCATGGTATTCCCAGTGTGTGTCTGACACAAAACAGGTGTTCAGGAAGTATTTGTTAAATGAATTAACAGCAATGGAGGGATTAGCTCCTAGAGTCAGCAGACTCAACACTGGCATGAGGGTTAAGAGCTGGGCTTGGAAGCCCTCTCCACGCAATTTGCTCTCTCAAGTCTATGAAACCCTTTCACTTCCTGTTCTTTTTCTCTGCCGCCCCCCATCAATGACTTTCTTTGAAACAACATATATTTCAAAAGATTTTTTGTGATTTCCCTCCATGAAAATAAGAAGATGCAGGTCCCTGATTCTCTATCCTATCTGTATATCAGAATCACCTAGAGAACTTTTAAACAACGCTCATGCCAAGGGTCCCACCAACTGAATCAAAATTCCTGGGGAGAGGCAGCGGGGAGGCCTGGCTTGGGTAGTTCTTTAAAGTATTCCCAGGTGGTCCTAAGGTGTATCTGAGCCACTGGTGTGGACCAAGCAGCAAGCAGAGCAGGCTAAAAATTCATCAAAGCAGGTTTCGTGGATGCCATGCTCAGGGACTCAGAGCCTGAGCAGATGCATCTGGCATGTAGTTTGCATGGATCAGATGTGGGCATAGGATGGGGGTTATTTCCATGGACTTTAGGAACTCCCAACTTTAAGACACTGTGCAGCCATACCACATGCTGTGCCACACTACCACACTGCTGAATATGCTGTTCCCTCGGCCTGAACATCCTCTCCCAACCTTGCTGAACTCACCCTTCAAGACAAACCTCACGTTTCACTCCTCCATGAGGTCACTCCTTACCGATTCCTCCGACCTCAGGCCTTCTAAGTACTTGGTAGAAACTTAAATAATTCTCTCACACTGAAATTATCAGTCTTTGTGTTATGTGACTATAAGACAAGTCCCGTGTCTTTCTCATACATTGATGTGTAGATTCTAGAACAATGCCTGGTATATGGAAGCATCAATAAAGTTTACTGAATGAAGGAATGAATAGATAGTTTCTAGTCCCACTTCGCATCTTTTTTCCTGTTTTCAGTCAGCAGATAAAACTTGACAGCATTTCATACTTTACAAAACACCTTAACTTGATTTATTACATTCATATATTCGACCAGTACTTACTAGATACCCACTCTTTTGGAGACCACTGGAGTTACACCGTCAGTAATGGAAGGGGTAGGGCTACTCTGGAAAGGATGACCAAGGAAGATCTTCAAGCTAAAAGCTAGAAGTATCTAAAGATAGAAGGTGTGGGTAGAGAAAGAGAACAGGCTTGAAACAAAAGCAAGAAGGCCAGTGTGGCTAGAGCAGAGTAAGATAAACTGATTTATTCAACTGAAGTTTCTTAACCAATAATTAAGATAGGTAGGCCTGATAACCTCCAAATTCAAACATTAAGTGATTTTCCCATCTGATGGAAGAAAGCTAGTAACCAAACCCAGCCTCATCACTGCAATCCAGGCTTGTCCCAAACCATCAGCTGTCGAGGACATCTGTAGATACAGACCTGCACTGTCCAATACAGCATCCATTAGCAACCTGAGCACCTGAAATGTGGATAGTCTGAATTGATATGTGCTGTAAACGTAAAGTACCCACAGATTTCATAGACCTATTACAAAAAAAAAAGTAAAATATCTCACTGATAATTTTTCATACCAATTAATGTTTATTACTACTTTGGACAATTGGGTCAAATAAAATATATTAAAGTTAGCATCACTGTTTCTTTTCACCACTAGAAAAATGTTTTGATTACTTATGTTGCTGGTATTATGTTTCTATTGGACAGCACTGGTATACACCCTCAGTACGTCTCCAACCAAGAGCTCTCACGGGCCAGGCCCTTGCAAATTCTGCACAGCGATGACAGCTTGCACTGCCTGAACCCCCAAACCCCCATCCCAGTTTTAACTTTAGCTCCGCGTGTCCCTTAACTTCTTTGAGCCTGGCGGGGGCTGTTCATGCTTCCAAAGGGACACAGCAGCCACCTCCTGGGTCTTTCATGAGAATTAAGTAAACGTTCCCGGGCAGCACCGGCAGCCCGTAACGGCCGGCTCACCCGGTAGCTCTCGAATGCCTCGTCGATGGGCGCCATGGTGTGTGCCTGGTGCTCCCGGGACTCCCTGCACACCAAGCACACGGGCCGCTGGTCGTCCTCGCAGAAGAGCCGCAGCGGCTCCCAGTGGCGGCCGCACAAGCCGGGGGGCACGGTGTCCTGGCGCCGGCGCCGCGTCTTCTCCGTCAGCCGAGCCAGGGCCCAGTTGGGCCGCAGCGCGGCGGACGCCGACGGCTGCCGGCACTCGGGGCAGGGGAACGTGCCGCCACCCGGCGCCCAGCTTCGGCGCAGGCAGCCACGGCAGAAGTTGTGGCCGCACTCGATGGACACCGGGTCCTCGAAATAGTCCAAACAGATGGAGCAGGTCAAGTCCTCCTGGAGGTCCTCGGCTGCCATGCCGCTTTCCTGCCCCTGGGCCAGAGTCGGGTCGATGTGAGGCGCTGGAGTGGCCTGCGGACTACGGGTGGTGACACCGGGGGCCCTCGAGCCCGCGGCCAGCGCCTCCGCCGGAGGAGAAAGTACAGACTCTCTTCCGGGACTCGGGACCCAGGCCGGGCGGGTGACATCCGGGTAGCGGCCCCTCCCCGCGCGATCGCTAGGCGTTTGAGAGCGTGAGTCCGGCCCCTCGGGGTTTCCGCCGGAGAAGGGCGAGCCGGCGGTCGGGGCCTGGCCGCGGGGCCTGATGAGACGCGGCTGCGCCTCCGGCCAACGATAAAGATGAGGAAATCCCCCAGGAAGCCTAGAGAGGCCTTGACCAACCGTCGGGGCTGGAGAGACGCTGGGGGCTGTTTGGCCAGCCTTTCAAGTTTGAGGTGTGAGATCCACGTTAGCTGGACGCTCGCGGCGATTTAAATTCTGGAGTCCTAGGCGAACTGGAGCCCAGAGGGACTTCCTAGTCCTGCGGCAGCCTTGGGGCCTGGAGGGCCAGGAGGACTACGATCTGTGCAGCTGGACTTGGAGTGGGGCCATGGAGGCACTGGTCCCGTTAGGCTTGCTCCCCTTTTTCCTTCATCAGCTTCCTTTCTCAGGCAAAGAGGCCCATTCTCGGCCTCCAACCCCAAAGTCTATCCTAAAAGGCCATGAAGCCCACCAACTTGAAGCCCACAGACTCTCCTGTAGTTTGAGGAGTCGGGCCAACCAGACAGCCAGCATTCCAAGAGGCAAACAGGAAAGGCAGTTTAGCCCCAGGAGCTAGTGGAGAACTGTCTGATCGCCCTGCCACCCTGATTTCTCTTCTCAGACACAGAAGATAGACACCAGGTAGAGAAAGCCCATTCTCAGAGCATGGGACACACTCATGCAGTCAGATCGGGATTCTAACAGTTGAATTAGGGGAAAGAATCCAGGGTGAGATGGTTCCCCAGATTTGAGACTTCCACCAGTGTCTCAGGTGGTTCAACTCCCAGAAGTTCTGTGGGATCTGCTGAGTGGCTGTCATCTATGATGACTGGAAGGAGCAGATCCTGGTAGCTGGTGCTGCAGTTACTGACCCAGTTCAAGATCAGGGTGTCAGAACACTGCCTGGAGAATGCTGCTGAAGCTGTAGATGTCATGAGGACATTGTGATAGATCCGACAGGACCCGGAGAGTGTGTGAAGAGATCAAGTTTCTTAAGTGGAAGTACTTAAAATTCAGAATCATAGATACAGTGTCTTTTGTACCCAACTTGAACAGCAACCATTTTGCTATCCCAAGGAACATCCATGGAGACTTTCAACAAACAATATGCTTGCCTGTTGCAGAGAATTATCTATTTCCCTTTAATGGATTTTTTATCTTGTGTTTCTGAGGTGCCCTTTTTTTTAATTCTTCCCACTCCATTCCTTTTCTGATGAATGAAGTTTTTAAATTCTTGTGTCCCAATATCAGATACTGTGTTTCCAATAATACTCTCTAGAAGTAGTTGCTGAATGTATGATTAAATTATTTGGAAGGAGTGTTCCTGTGATCTCTGTTTGGGGGTTTTTGATGAAAGTCCCACCGAATAGTTTTTTAATGTTTAAATTATACAACTAATAAATGCATTTTCTTTGCAAACTGGAATATTTTGTAAAAGGAATCTGAGTCAGTATGAACCAAGTGGGAAAAAATGCTCTTATCAGTTACTGATGTTTGCTGTGTTTGTGGTGTATGTGTCTGTATGTCTGCCTATGTATTAAGTAGCTGACATAAGGTCTTGTATCTCCTTAAGGTTGTTATGTCTTCTGTCCTGCTGTACTCCTGAAATGAACTTCCATCTTTCCTGAAAATACTGAGGTTCACTAAGTCACAGTTTTATTCATATGGAATTCATAAGGCAACTTCAGGGAACCTCAAATAACCAAACTATTTTGAAAAAGAAGAACAAAGTAAGAGGACTCACATTTCCCAATTTCAGACTTTATTTCAAAGCTAAAATAATCAAAACACATGGTCCGGGCATAAGTACAAACAAACAGATCCATGGAATAGAATTGAGAGTCCAGAAATAATGCCATACATCTACAAGCAATTGATTTTCAAAAGGATATCAAAACCATAATGAAAAAAATAAGCATTTCAATAAATGGTGCTGGGACAACCAGATATCATGCAAAAGAATTAAGTTGGGCCATTATCTCATGCCATATATACAAAATTAATTCAAAATCAATCAAAGACCTAAATATAAAGCTAAAACTATAAAACTCTTAGAAGGAAACGTGTAAATTTTCATAGCCACAGATTAGGCATCAGTTTCTTAAATATAACAAAGTCATAAAAACAAAAGAAAAAATTGATAAACTAAATTTCATCAAAAAAACTTTTGTGCAGCAAGGACACTATCAATAAAGTGAAAGACAATCCACTGAATGGGAGAAAATATTTGGAAATCATAAGGACCTGATAAAGATCTAGTATCCAAAATACATAAAGAACTCAACAAAGATACAAACAACCCAGTTAAAAAATGGGCAAAGGATTTGAATAAATATTTCTCCAAAGAAGATATACAAATAGCCAATAAGCCAATGAAAAAATGCTCAAAATCATTAAGTCACTAGGGAAATGCCTATCAAAACAACGAGGTACCACTTCACCCCAACTAGGATGGCTAGAATTTAAAAATCAAACCAATAAAAACAAAATATACCAATCATTGGCAAGGATGGGATCAATCAGAACCAATTTATACATTGCTGTGGGGAATGTAAAATAGTACAACTGCTGTGGAAAACAATTCAGCAGTTCCTCAGAAAGTTAGAGTTACTATATGCCCCAGCAATTCCACTCAGTATTCCCGAGAGAATTGAAAACATATGTTCACACAAAAACTAATACATGAATGTTCATAGCACCTTTATTGATAATAACTGAAAAGTAGAAACAATCCAAATGTCCATCAACTGAAAAACAGATAAACAAAATGTGGCAAGCCATGCAATGAAATAATAGTCAACCATTAAAAAAAAGGAATGTTCTTGGTTTCACTGGATGTGGCTGGTAATTGTAGGTCTGCTTTTGTTATATATCTGTATTCCTATTCTGTTAATGTGTGTATGCAATTTAATTATTTGTTAAAACCTATACATACTTATGTTACTCTACAAGAAGTTATGTCAAAGAAATAATCAATCTTCCCATGTTTTCTTCCGTCTGCTACTTCTATAGCTTTTCTTCTTCCTTCCTAATTACAGCCCTTTAGTAGAATTCGTGTCTCCCCATATCGAAAATTACCGAGTATCATAATTCTTCCAAGTGGTAAAGATACCTCAAGACAATTGCTGGGCATAGAAGCCACAGGGCATAAATCTGCAAAGAAGTAAAAAGCTAACCTTTTCAAAGAATATTGCTTCTCTCTCACTTACCAACTTTACATTTCCCTGTATGGCCCCGGAAGACGGCTGGTTAGCCAGAGACGGGTAAGATTCCTCAAGGGAGGAACAACCTAAGACAGGCACAGTCACAGGGGGGCCATCAGGTGAGAAATTGGGGATCAACAGAGGTGAGACTTAGAACCTAACCCCGCCCCCCATTCTGAGAGAAATCCTCTGCATCCGTGGATGTTTTGTTGCCCTTGTCTAGCTTGGATTAATACTTAGTCTATAGGCACACACCTGATCATCTACATTTGCCCTCTTACAGCACTAAATTATGTTTTCTACCTTTATCTTGCATCTACCTACCACTTCAGCATTTCAGGGAGAAATGTGGGCTTCACATATAAATCAAGTATAAAAATCAAATGAATAATCATATCTGACTTGATTGTTTATAGTTCATGATGCGTGATCAAAACCGAAAGTTTCTGTGATGACTGCCTTTGCACTGTTCACCATGTAAGAACTTATTCACTATGTAAGAACTTGTTCACCATGTAAAACCTTGTTCGTTATGCCTCAGAAGATTGGAGAATGTTGAGAATTAGGCTTGGGGTTGATTAATGATTGTGCATTGAGTCCCCTGTACAGAATTTTATTGTTGTTAACAACCATTTGATCAATAAATATGAGAGATGCCCTCTCAAAAAAAAATAATAATAATAATGAAAAAAAGGAATATAGTACTCCGACATGCTACAACATGAATGAACCTCAAGGACATTATGCTAAGTGAAAGAACGCTGTCACAAAACACCATGTATTGTATGATTCTTCCATTTTTATGAAAAGCCCAGGACAGGGTATAGAGACAGAACATTAATGGTTACTTATGTTTGAGGAATATGGGGGTTTGTGGGTAAGCTAAGGGTTGTAGGCTTTCTTTTCGAGTTGATAGAAATGTTCTAAAATTGTGTTAATGGATGTACAACTCAATACCAAAAGCCATTGATTTGTATGCTTTAAATGGGTGAATTATATGGCATGTGAACTATAGCTCAATCAAACTGTTTAAAAGGACACTGTCAAGGAGGAAATCTGAATGGTGACATTTCTTCTTTCCCATCCTTGATTACTTGGCTGGACTCTGGATATAGAAGAAAAGGGATTCTTTATGAAACAGAGAAAAAATCATTATTTTACTAGATGTTGCCAAAATGGCCCTTGGGCAACAGAATGTCTTTCCTTAGGAAAGAGACTTCCTAATGTACTTGGGGATAACTTAGAATTCAGAAGGTGAAGACAAAACTAGATAGCTGCTCTCTGATGAGAATGTGAAGGGGAGGAAGAACTGAGGAGAGAGATTTCCAAAAACAAGGTGGGGCCGCAGGGGGGTGGGAGACACACTTGGACAGAAATGACAGAGATTCAAGAAAAGACAAGCATGATATTCAGCTTCAAATTATCCGCTGAATCACACTGGGATGTAAACCTCCCTTCCTATGACCCCTGACCCAGCAGTAAAACTCTACTGTCTTTTCTGTGTAGTATCGAGAGAGGGGCATGAGTTTAAAAAGTAGGGAGTTGGCCCCACATATGAGTGGTGGCTGTGCTGGAGACAGTGGGGTGGCTGCAGTGCACCAGGCAGATGAGACCTGGGCAAAAATTGCAGCTGGCCGTGGTCCAGGGGACATAAGCCTCTGAATTCCCAGTAAGGGTGTGTCTGGACATTTGAATAAATCTCATCTATATATTAAAGAATAGCAGGTTATACATGCTTGGAAGCCAGTCTGAATATGACGTATGCCACGGGGTTGGGGCGTTTGTAGGTCACAGTGAGACAGAGACCGTGAATGTAGTCAGAGTAGGGTGAGGGCCTCTGGAAAAAGCAAGGCAGGATATTTACAGTCAGAGCAATGTAACTACATGCAAGGAAACCCCCTACCAAAACTCCGTATTAAACAATTAAGCAAAGTCAGAGTCACATTAGTTCTCTAAAGTAAAATATCAAACTAAGAATATAAGCATTCTTCAGTGAAAATTAGTTAAAACTAAAAAGCCAGGAGTAACTTAGCCTGGAATGTTTGAACATCTCTCAGATAATAAAATACCTCAGCATAGCCCATGTCTTGTTTGTGTCAATTAAATTAAGCTATTATAAAATTTACGTCAGCCTGCTAAAAAGCCCACTTTAACTTTACCCAGATTCTGCTTTTCCTCCTCCAGCCCTAATTAAGTCAATAACTCAGCTCACCTTGAAAGCAAAACAGGCAGCCTTGACTAATACACTCCCAAACCAAGAAACTGCTATTCTGAGAAAGGATCAAAGCAGTAAATTTCTTAATGTTAACTCTACAAAATAGTCCGGAAAACTGATAAGAAACTTAGTGCCTCTTTAAAGAGAAACATTTAGAGACCATCTGGTGAATCTACATCCCTAGCTCTTTGTCTCTCAACTGCCTATAAATCCCCTAGACAGCGCACAGCTACGGACTCTCTTGTCCCCTCCTGGCGTGAGCCAGCAGCTCTATTCTCTCACTGCATCTCTAAATAAAAGCCTCTCCCCTGGCTCTCCTACCTTGACTGTTTGCTTAAGTTCATTCTTCGACTCCGCAAACAAGAACCCCGGCATCAACAGGACTTTGAACTTGGGGGAAACAGAGAACATGAAACAACAGAAGAGACGTAAGCAGAGCCTCTATAGCAGAAATGAAGATCGTCTTCAGCAGCAGGAATGCTGACAACAGTCATGAATATTTATAAGGCAGGACAGGGGAGAGGCGCGGTTTTATGGAGGCTTCTGCTGGCTGACTCAGAAGCAAGCCCATGAAAATCATGCTGCTCACACCAGAGAATCCTGGCGAGGAGGCACTAGCAGGCATTCCTCACAGAAATGCTTCAGACAGCACGGCCCACCAAGGCCCTTATTGCTGCTTCAACAGCCTCTAATTTGCCATGGAGGTAAATGCGCACTCACTGGATTCACAGGAAGATCTAAACCACTGGGCTCCGTTCAAAGCAAGGAGGGGTCTTCATAACTCTGCAAAGTGGAGAATCAAGCAGAAGCTGAGGCTTTTTCTAAGCGGGAAGAGACCTAAAGGGAAGGGCAGCGGAGACACCTGCCTGAGCACTCTGGTCCTGGTTCAGGAGCCAAGGAGGACTCCTGGGAGGAGAGGTCTGGTGGGTGGGGGTGGGGGTGGGAGATGGGCTCAGAGCACATCTGCTTGGAACCTGGTTTTCTCCTTGTAACCTGTGGAAGTTATACTTCCCGAGGATGAGGGGCCTGCCGCGGGAGAGCATCAGGGCAAAGACATCAGGGGCAGGAAGAAAGAGGGACTTGAGGGCCCTTCTCACCTGCTTCTCGGAACTGCTCTTTTGTTTCCAGTGCTGGGAAGTTATCAGTTGGTTCCTGGTGTCTTTTGGTCCTCTTTGAAGTTGGGATGTAGCTAGGAGAGGGAGATCTCTGCTTCCAGGTCCTCCGCCATTGGCCCAGGCCCAGGAGCATGAGCTCCAAAAGGGTAAAGGAGAGGCAGAGCCCACTGACCCCAAACATGGTCTTCAGGAAGATGGTCTTCTCGGACGGGCGGGACAGGGTACAGGTTATGCTCCCTGGGCAAGGCTCTCGACGGCATGCAAAGGAGCTGGGCATCTTGAACCCATACAGGTGGTACTGCCCCACCAAAGCTGCCCCCTCCAGGACCAGCCGCACCCCCAGCTGGGCTACATAGGCCCAGAGCAGCCTGGGGCTTCCAGCCCCTGAGGCATCTCCACTGCCCTCCCCTGGGCTGAGCAAGGTCTCCTCTTCCTTCCTCACCTCCCCTGATTCTTCCCAGTGCCAGATCACATGATACAGGGTGAAACCCACGTAGAGGGCTCCAGGCACAGCCACGGAGATAACCTGGAAGGCCCAGAAACGCAGTGGAGATAGGGGGTGGAAGTCGTCATAGCAGGCGGCCTTGCAACCTGGCTGCGGCGTGTGACACACAAATTCACTCTGCTCATCGCCATAGATCCCCGCCCCGCTAGCAGCCAGCAGCACGAGGCGGAAGCCCAGCAGCACGGGCAGCAGGAGGCGCCCCACGGGGGTGGAGTGCCAGCTCTCCTCAACCACCAGCCGCCTCAGGAACCTGCCACACATCCTGTGGGGACGCAGAGGACAGAGAGAAGGTTACTGTCATTTAAGAGAAGCACCAGGCCGCCTCTTCCCTCCTAATCCCAGGATGGGTAGGGCAAGCCTTCATGCTCCTCTCCAAGGTTCTGGTTGATCAACTACCAAAACCCTGCACCTGTTTGAAGTTAATGGAATCATCTATGTAATATAATAACGATGAGTGGGTGTGGTTGTGACTCTCCCTTCTGTCCCCTCTTCTGTACTGCTGGACCGAAGAGGAACTCCAGACAGAGGGACACTCGGGTGTGCCTTTGTCACTGTCTTTCCCTCCCTTCCTCTTACCCTTCCCAGAGGCTAAATAGTAAGAAGCCCAGAGTCCTCTGGAAACTGTTGCTTCCCCAGGTGATGGCTGCCAGGTCTGATGGTCCTGTCAGGTCGTGAAGGGACGCAGCGCAGACTCAGGTGGGGGGAGTGTGAGTTGCCTGCCGTCTGCTTTTCTCGGGTCCTGCTCACAGGTGTGTCAGTCTGGCCTCTGCTTCCATCGCAGTGGTAAGACTGAGATGCAGCTGGGACTCCATGGGGATCAAGTGAACAGAACGAGTGTCAAGACTTGCTTTAGTTTGATATTCTTTAGATCTAACCAGCCTGGCAAAAGGAGAACATTTTTAAGAAAACCCAGAAAAATCGACTAGTTAAATGTAATGGGTTTGGGGCCAATGATAGAGCCAACTGGAGACAAATTCGAAAATCACCTCTACTTTGTCATAGTTCCTTGAGCTTATATATCCCTCGCGGTGAGAGGTGACTGTGGTCAGGGGCAGGCTGCAGAAATTCCTGAATCTCAATTCTCTGGACAAAATACATATCAAATATAATACCATCGTGCTGCAAGCCCAGCTTGCCAGCTCTATCTTTGTCCTGATCGGCAGCCTTCCTCGATGCCCTGCTGTGCTAACCATCCCCATTCAGCCCAAACTCTTATATGCCTGGTCCCATCACTCTCAGAAGACCGTGCAAACCTCCCATTCCATGGAGAAAAAAACAGAGGCTCCCTGATGGAAAACCCCACAGCCATTACATCCCTCCATGTCTCCGGTCACTTCCTTCCAGACCATCTTCAAGAAATGAGTGACCCTGCACTGTCCGAGGCTACTCTCCCTCCCAACTTCGCATCCTTGGGTCTCTCCTAGCAGGCTTCTTCAAGGATCTGATCCCCAGGCTGTAGTCCCTCTAATTCAGACCACTCTTGTTTCCTCCTCATGAACTTACTTAGGTTTCTCTCTTTAATAAGAGACCTCTAATAAGCTGAATTTCTAAGTTAACATGGCAGCAAAGGAGACATTCCTAATTTGTCTCCTATCAAATATAATTCCCAGAAAGATGCACGAAGCAATTTCAAATGGGCATTAGTGTCACAAACCATAGATAAGAACAGGCAGAATCGTCACTTCTGTGCAGTTGGAAGGAGTGGATTGAGATGCTTCCAGGAGACTCTTCTGAGGGTCTCAGCTGACCAGAGAAACATGTTGCAATCCACCAAATGTGAGAAACCATATTTTGAGCCACTAGGAATCCCAGTTTGAACCTCCACCTGCTCCTCAGGCCCAACTCTACCTCCATCATAGACTGTGAAGACTCAGAAGTCTATCAGGTGCTGAAAATTCTTTTCTATAAAACTGAGTTAAAATTTTAGAAGAAAGCTATTGGCTCTAGAAAATTGCAAATTTGGTTTCATGATTAAATATTGAAGAGAGAGATGTGTCCCCTCTCATTCCCAAGACTCCTTGAAAATGAGAGTAAATGGATCTTTGAGCATATAAACCCCCTACACACAGAGTAGAAGACAGATCATCACAACTGGGATCCGCTTTGAAGGCAATAGGAAGGATTCTGAGGAAAATCAGAATCACATTGGGTAATTCTTCCATAGTTCAGAGGAAGAAGACAAATAATTGGAAATAATAAAAGGTAAATAGATCAAGGAACAAAATCTCTTTCCTAATTTGAAAATCAAGACAAGAAAACAAAATCCCTGGCTTACTTGGTGAGTGAGAAAACACTTAGTGCCTGGAAAAAAAAGACTTTCTCAATAAATGTTTTGGTTTTTTGGCACGTTATTGAGCTCCACAGAGGACCAAAGGGAAAGTCAGGTTCCAAAGGTGGTCCTGGGTTTCTCAGCCTTGGCCCTGTTGACATCTGAGGCCTGATCCTCTGGTTTGGAGACGGGAGTCGTGCTGTCCTGTGCCTTGTAAAATGTTCGGCAGAATTCCTGGCCTCTATCCGCTAGATGCCAATAGCACACGTCCCACTCCCCACCCACAATTGTCTCCAGACACTGCTGATGTCTCCCGAGGTCAAAGGTACCTCTGGTTTGGGTAGCACTGATCCCTCACCTCTCCTCTCTTAGTTTCCATTCCCAGCTCTGTAGAGCAAGACGTCTGTACCAGAGCATCTCAAGAGGTTCTTATTTGGTGGGATAACCATCAGCCCGTTTACAGGCTGGTTGTGCACTCTCCTTCAACCAGCCCCACCTGTTAGGAGAAGGCAGCCCCTCCCCATCTCATAAGTCTATGGGGTCCCTGCATGCAGGAGAGGCAGCCCCAGATTTTGAGGGTTTCTGCCGTGGGACTGCTGCAGAGTTTCCAGACTAAATGTTAATTTGGTAAATACTCAAGCCTTGCTCTCAGTCTCATCTCATTACAAAGTGCAGGCCAAGGCCCCTCTAATCCATTTCCAGCACATTCCCAGCAGACCTGGGATTTAATATGGAGCAGACCTGGTATATTCCAAACGTTCCATATTTGACTTGTTTCCAGAGGCCCTATTTCTTGTTCTTTGTCTCTCTCATGTCCACCCCAGACCCACAGCCAGTCATCCACATGTCCTCTGAGAGGCTCCAGGAAATAAACTTTGGTGTCCAGAGCTCACCACACAGCTTTGGAGGTTTGGAAGGGAAAGAGCAGAAAAAGCAGGACAAGAGGACTTGCCTGAGAACCCTTTGCTCCACGGCTGTTACCACCAAAACAGTGCTCATTCCGCATGCATTGTGGGGCCTCGTGGAAGGTTCAGACAAGATCCTGCCCCATCCCTCAGAGTCAGCCGACCACAGGGAGCTTCCTACCCAACCAGGACAAACACAGTCTCTGGCCTTCCTCCTCTCCCACTTTCCTGGGACCCTGCAGACTTCCCCTTCTGTCCCAGCCTGCCCCAGGCCACCAGCTCAGTCCCTGAGACCCACATTCTCTCACAAACAAGTCTGTCTCTTTGTCTTCAGGGGTCAGAGCCCCCAGGCTGAACTTCAGGATGGAGGGAACTGAGGGCTCAGCATTGTTGGCAGAGCTTGGTTCAAAGGACGCTGCTGTTTCCAGGAGTGCACAGAGTTTGCAAGTAAGTCTACACAGAGGGAGTTGGCAGCAGCTGAGCCATGTCAAGATTTCAGTCAGTGAAGTTCAAGGGCTGGGAGAGGGAGGAAAGCCCAGAGTGTGAGGAGATTTTCAAACAGGTAAGTCGATTTTTTTTTTAATTCTACCATAATTTTGGTAAGTTTTCTGAGCATCCCTTTTCTTTTGGAGAAAATGTTCAGGATCCCATTGGTGGCAAACTCCATCTCCTACAGTCAAGTATGAGGGAGGGATGTCCAGTGAGGCCTGCAGGACCTGGTTCATTGCTGCCCTCCCCCCAGCCACCCTACCAGCCAGAAAACGGTCTGGATTCTTCAATTCAAGTGTGGTCCCTGGAGCAGCAGCACCGGGATCGCTCGGAATACAGAATCTCAGGCCATATGGCAGCCTTAGCAAATCAAACCTGAATGTTAATAATGTCCCCAGACCACTAGCCTGTGCATTAGCGTTGGAAGAACCTGTCTAGAGTCCTGGGCAGCCCCCACCCTCGCAGTCCCCAGGCCCTGTGCCAGCCCAGCTGCTCTCTGCCCCAGCACTCACCTGGCCTCTTTGAGCAGAAGCACCAAGGACAGGAAAGAGGCCGAGAGAGAGTCCTCCGCCTGGAGCCCACAGGGTCCCTCGCTCCCCAGGGCCTGCCTCCCCCCACCACCCACATCTTCCCCCTCCCCTTTTCATTCCTGGCAGCCTTAGGCAGGGTGAAAGGATTGCAGCTTGGTGGATGGACTGCAGGAAAGGCAGCCCTGCTGGTAAAGAATGGGCTCCAGAGAACAGCCCTCCGCTGATGGAAGGTGTACATCTTCTAAGTGCACTGAGGCAGGGATTTCAGAAAGGGAAAAATAGCTTTGTCCAGTGGGGTGGGGGGGGTGCTCACAGGCAACAACAGGGATAGTTTCCATAACTTTAACACTATTAAGTCTCCCGCTTTCCTGGCCAAGGACCCAAAGCACAGATTTACCCACAAAAGAGAGAGAGAGAGAGAAAGAGAGAGAGAGAGAGAGAGAGAGTGTGGGGTGTGTGTGTGTGTGTGTGTGTGTGTGTGTGTGTGTGTGTGTGTGAGTACGTGCTTCATTTCCTCAGTAGGGTGTATCCCCTAACTCACTGTGTGCCCCTCAGCAACTCAGGGAGCCCAGCTCCTCTCCACCAGGCCCAACAAGAACATGACACTCGCTGCATACGCATTCCTGAAGCATGGCTGGGAGCCAGGGTGCCAGGTCTCCTCCAAAATGGGGAAGGGGCAAGGCGGGGGCGAGAGAGTGACTCTGCAGTGGGGAGTTGGAGGGAGCCTCAGTTCCAGATATACCCCTGTGGATATGTGAGGCATCCTTCCTCGATTTTCTAGCATTTAATAATGTCACAGAGAAGTGTAAGTCCAGCTTGGTAGTCTCATCTTTTAACTGATTTAATTTTCTTGACACTTTGCCAAATGGATCCTTTTTCACCTTTGAAACCTGTTCCCTCCTCAAGGAGATGCTATTAAGCAAGTCAGAAAATAACTTCCTGCTGACTTCTCCTGGGCATGGGTACGTGGGTCCATAGGATATATTAATGGGCCAACATAAATACTTTGGGCCAACAAACCAGGTGTGCAGGCCAATTCCAGTACAGCCACATCTACCTCCATCTCCCA